AAAGGCCCCAGCATTCAAGAATTGTTGAATCATGGGTAGGGGTGAATTCTTACACACCTGCGACCTGCAAGATATGGCTTGCTCCTATTTTGAGTGCTGTTTAAAATTAGGAAGCAGATTCTATGCAAGTTTTGAATATAGCTTATTAAACTGCTTCATTTTCACTGGTCAGGTTGACATGTGTTTTGTAACAGTTGTCATTTATACTGAGCTAACGAAATACGACCAGAGGAATGCTAAACTAAATTACTACATATGAAACAAAGGCATTTGTCCAGAGTATAAAAAGATTACTGTTCGCCAGTAGACATAGTTAGGACTTCTCTAAATACCAACTCTAAATACTCGACTACTGGCTAGCAAGGTGAAACATCCCAGAATAGAAACAGCTTGGATACCTCAGTGAGAGTTAATAAGAGACAATAAGAGATCTGAATTTAAGCTGACCACTGATTTGTTACTGGGGCAGAGGGTCACATGGCCAATCCAGGCAGGGATGAGAGAAACTGCTGTATGAAGAAATGTATGAAGAAATAGCTGCTGCTGATCAGCACGGTCAACACTGAACAAAATAGGCGAAAGTGAGTCCTTCCACTTATCTTCTCTCTTTCTCCTTATAGAGTTCAGTGGCAACAGCACACACTGTTAAGAGCAATCCTGTCTCAGATGAAGAACCCATCTAGCATTGCATCCCACTTTCCACAGTGGCCACGCAATTGCCTCTGGGCAGCTCACAAGCAGGATATGAGAGCAATAGTCCTCTTTAAGTGCTTGGTTTCCCAGCAACTGATTTCCAGAGGCAAGATGCCTCTGATTCCAGACATAATACTCTCCAGAATACTACAGCGATATACAGTACAGTGCTCACACTATATACATCTGTATAAAGGTACAAGGCTCACTGTTTTTACATTGCAATTTTTACATAGGGAATTTCAGATGAAGTGGACTGTGCAGAGTGGCTGCAAGAGGATGGAAAAAACTGAATGCAGGAAGAGGAGGAGCAATGCATTCTATTCTATATATTACTGCTTTTTATAGGGTTAGGTGGGCCTTAGATCTTTCAACAATGATGCAGAAAAAGAACCACAAATTTGGAATTCTCAGGGTCCAAAAGCAATTCTGCAGACTTGCTTGAGTGCTGGGAATATTTAAAAACAAAACAAAACAAAACCACACAACTCTTAGGGTTGTCTCCAACTACTCTGAATAGACCCAATGAATTTAATGGACCTAAGTTAGTCATACCTTTTAATCTCAGTGGGTTGAGTCTTCGTAAAACTTTTTAAAAACAACTTGTAGTATTAATGCTGTTACTTCTACTACTAAGAATAAGCCTGATGTGGTTTATATAGGTCATGCTCCTTACTAGCTACTTGTTTCATAAGAATTTTCCCCCTCTATGAACACTCTTTATTGTAGACAAATACTCTCCCCTAGCACACTCTGCTTATCCAGTATATGAGGTAAATATTGAAAGAATACATACATATTTCAGTCTATGAAAAGTGGGCAGAGGTGGAAGCATAAGCCTCACTTGGATATAAAAAATTATGATGATCTTAAATCCTGAAAATATGATACCATACACACACCTAGTAGATTTTTCTTGCATGAACACCACACATAAAAACACAGGTGTAAGTTTCTGAATCATTTCATCTCTGTGGACTAGGGCTAGGCGATAAATGGATTTCAATATCACAATATATCACCAGCTAAACCTAGCAATATATCAATGTATCATGATATCTGAAATAAGGAAAGAACTACGCAGAGGCAAACAAGACAATGTCCTGGCAACTGCTACTACTTAAGGGTCTAAAACTGAGAAATGATGATATTATCAATCACCTCATGGTCACTTTCAGCAGCAGACAAGCCAAAACGAATCCAAATGAGACTTTTGGTTTTGGACTTGGCTACCAAACGGTGGCATTCAGGACAAGCCAAAGTATGTCGATGAGTCATAGTGAGTACAAATAATCTGGGACTGCCAGACTGCAAGCAAGCCTGCTAGGCAGCAGAAGCAGCCTGGCAGCAGCGGCATAATAATCAGCAATCTGAAAAGCCACACCACAGTAATGGGTGACGGCAGCAGAAGCAGCGGCAGCCTGCGAAGCCTTGTCATGGTGGTGGCACTAGTGGTGGCCTGCAAGGCCTTGCAGCAGTAGCAAAAGCAGCAGTGGCCTGTAAAGCCTTGTCACGACAGTGGCAGCAGCAGTGGCCTGTGGGGCCTTGCGGTGGCAGCAGGAGATGGTGGCAGAAGCAGAGATGGCCTGCAAGGCCTCACTGAGGCAGCCTGTCACAACGTCTGCCTCTGCCTCCCACTACCGCCTGGAGGACTTGCAGGCTGCCATCACTTATTGCCTCCATGGCGAGGCCTCACAATCTCCACTGCTTCTGTCACCACAAGGCCTTGCAGGCTGTCACTACTATTGCCGCCATCTCCCGTTGCCACCACAAGGCCTTGCAGGATGCCGCTACTATGGTCACCTCCTGTCACTGCCACAAGTCCCTGCAGGCCTCTGCCACGAGGACTCGCAGTCCACTGCCACTGCTCCCTGTCACTGCTCTGAGTCCTTGCAGGCCACCACAGTTACTGCTGCAACCTCCCGTCACCGCTGCGAGAATTCGCAGGCCACCACTAATTGTGCTGCCACCGCGAGACCTTGAAGGTTTTCGCCACTACTGCCTACATGTACCATGGTCATGGCAAGCTGTTTCTGCCACTGCTGCTTCTGCCTCCTAGCAGGCAGTCTCAGATTATTTGCATTCACTATGACTCATTGCCGTACTTTGAATTGTCCTGAATACCACCATTTGGTAGCCAAGCTCAAAAACAAAAGTCCTGTTGGGATGCATTTTGGCTTGTCTGCTGATGAAACTGAGTCTGTAATGATTGATAATATTGCCATTTATCTGTTTTAGACCCCTAAGTAGTAGCAGTTGCCAGGGCATTGTCCTGTTCACCTCTGTATAGTTCCATCCTTATTTCAGAGATTGTGGTAGATTGCAATGTTTAGCTGGTGATAACATTGCCATTTAGCTGGTGATATTGTGAGGTTTAGCTGCTGATAACATTGCAGTGTTTAGCTGGTGAGTTATCGCGATGTTGAAAACCAGATATTGCTTAGCCCACATATTGTGATTTGCGCTATATTGCCACCTCAAAACGGTTTTGGACGATATATTGATATATTGCCCAGCCCTACTGTGGACATACTGCTTTGCTGTTAGGAAACAGGCATCCAAAGAAAATGTGGACAGAATATAAGAAAATAAAAGAACTTCCCCATATTACTGTGTGCAAATGATCCAAAAGGAAAAGCAGCAGAATATATAATAATTATGTGCAATCACAACATTAGGAGGACGTAGCTATCAACAGCTGAATATTCAGCAGTGGCTGACAGCCTGCAATCTCTGTGCCTCAAAACCCACACAAGGATTTTGGAGAGAAACAGAGGTTTTCAGATTAGATTAAAGGGCTATGAATATGGAACAGGTGATGTCTTGAAAACTGGTTATTGTAATTAATCCTTTTTTGTTATGGACATTCATGACTTCACTGCAGTTGGGTATACTGTGCCGTCCTTGATCCCAGTATACAATGCAGCCATCCACCCACATTTATGCATTGCAGCTTTTGATCTCTGGCATCTCCACTAGCAAGGCTGGAACAGACCTTTGCCAGAGACAGTTGCTGGCAGAGAAGTCAATACTAGGTTAAAATGGCCTGCTGACTTGCCTCTAAATAAAGTGATTCCTTGCTGCTTTGTATTTCAGGTACTTTGAGGGTCTATAAACCAAAGAGCACATAGGTTGATTTTGACTGAACATAAAGAAGACAAATTTGAAAAAGAAAGAAAAGATTTTTGCTACCCCCCCCCCTTTTTTCCAAGAACAGAAAACTTCGCACTCAGCATAATGAGGAATGGGGTGGGGGACGGGACCAGAACAATGAATGGAAACTGCAAGGAAGCAAAGTTGATAAATTTAGGACAACAGGCACAAACCTTGATTTTAGAAGCTGCAAATAATATTATATAAAAATGGGTGTACTTATATATATTTGTGACAGTCAAATCAAGTGACTGAGAGGTGTTCTCAGCTTACAAAAGCCCATGTCCCACATCTTTGCTGAACCACAAAAACATCTATGCACCAAAGCAGAAGAAAGAAATGGACTTTAAGTGCTTTGTCAGACGCTGCACATTGGTATGGACGAGAGACTGAGAGGGATCCTTCTATGAAGGTATCATAGATATTGCTGGAAGGAACCTTGGAGGTCATCTGGTCGAAACTTTGCTCAATGCAGCATCCCTGACAGATGGCTGTCTAGCCTCTGCTTACAATATCTGCAGCAAACAAGAGCCCAACACCTCCCAAGGCAGTCTGTTCTACTGTGAAATATCTGCTTACTATTATGATGTTTCTCCTAACGTTCCGTTGAAATCTGTTTCCTTGCAATTTCCACCCCTTGGTACAAATTGTGCTCTCTGGTGCAATGGAGAACAAGTCTGCTCAATCTTCAGTAAAACAGACCTTTAGATATTTGAAGAGCCCTATCCTGTCCCATCCCCTGCATAAAATTTGCCTATCCAGGGCAAAACAAGCAAATATTAGTCATGGGAATTGGGTTTCCAGATCTCCTCACCATCCTGGTCACCCTTCTCTGCACATACAAAAAAGATTCCTGCATTGCAATGGGTTTGGACTTGATGACCCTCGGGGTACATTCCAACTCTGCAATTCTATGGTTCTACTCCAGTTTGTCAATGTCCTCCTTAAAATGTGTCTTGCAGAAATGGACACAATATTCAAGATGCAATGCTGAACAGAAGAGAAGTATTACTTCGTGATCTGGACCCTATGCTTCTGTTAATGCTAGATTGCATTAGCCTTTTAAATCAGCAACATCACAATGCTGGCTCATGTACAGCTAAGACCAATTTACTGCTCCAAAGCCAGGTCTCCCACATCCTGGACCTGGACTCTGTGTGTGTGTGTGTGTGTGTGTGTGTGTGTGTGCGCGCACACACACACACACACACACTTAAAACACAAGACTTTACCCCTGAGAAATTTCATCTTGCTCATTTTTGCCTAGCATTGCAGCCTGTCAATATCATTTTGAATCTTGATTCTGTCTCCTACAATGCTAGCTATATTTCCCAGTTTCTTGTCCACTGAAGATTTGATAAACATCCCCTCTACGTCCTCATCCAAGTCATTTATAAAAATGTTAAACAGCACAGGACATAGGGCAGAGCCCTGTGGCACTCTGCTCGCTTTTATTTTTTGGCTTTTGCCATTTGTTTCTTAACGTCTACAGCAGCTTCTGCATATGTTTTGTTTACTCCTATATATCCACATCCTGGAGAGAGGGTCATGGTTCAACGGCAGAGCACAAGCTTCGGCTGCAGAAAGCACCAGACTCAACCCCTGAGATTTAACTACAAATGTCACGTGCCAGGCTGGGAATAATAGCTTTTGCCCAAAACGCTGGAGAGCCACTGCCAGTCTAAGTAGCTGATATTGGTCCATACAGGCCAATTGTTAGATTCAATATATGACAGTTTCATATGTATCTCATTTAAGAATGTGCCACGAAGTGTCTGGACATGACCATAAGGATGCACAGATTCAGAGCTTAAATGAAACTTTGCAGATGTGCATAAAAGCAAATGTTGCTTCAAACCTTGTGCACAAACGGCCAAAAGTTCTCACTAAGGCCAACAAGTAGCGCAGCTCTGGCTTCAGCTTACTGAAAACAGCATGTGCTAGTTTTGAAATAGCATGTGCTGGTTTTGGGCACGCTCACTTGAAGCCAATCATGGCGAACTTCAAGGTGAGGAGGATAATGAGAGAATGAATTGGAATATTGCCAGAATATTGCCTGGCTACCAGCCAGATTCAGACGACAGCTAGAAAAGCTCATGGATTGCAGTGGCTCAGAGGGACTGTTCGGAGAGAAACTGTTCTACAGGATCAGTGATCTGGTGCCCTACCCAATCCAATCTTGCAGCACAAGCAAAACGTGGGCACAGGAACAGGCACAAGGCTGGCAGTTCAGAAGAAGCTGGGGGTAGCAACAGCCAATGCTGGACTGGTTGAGGGCAAGTACAGGAGGGTCCAAAACGCCCAGCCAGTGGTTGCCTCCAGTCCATCAGGTAACTATTTAGATCTATCAGCCTGACTAAGCCAGGGGAATCCTCATTAAGTCAAGTCCTGCACAGGACTTTGGGAGGGACCTATATTTACTGAGAAGCTTTATGGAATCGATCCTCAACATCAAGCAGCAAAAGGGACTGCAGTGAACAGCTGATGAGAGATGCTGCTCTGCTACCAGAATGTGCGCCCTGCAGTTGTTCATATGCCTAGTTGTTTTGCCTACATCCACAATGTAATATCGGAAAATATATCTCAAATCAACTTCTTGAGCCACTTCTTTCAGCTTAATAGATTTTTTTTAAAAAATCATTTACAGTTCATTTATTGTACTTAGAAACGCACCCTGCTACACGGAAATGACTGACAACGTCAGCTTTCAAGGGGTGTGATAAGGGTGGAAGGATGTAGAGGGGAATCAGCCAACCACAAAATATATTATCATCTCAGCCAGCCGTCCTCAAATGGCCATTTTTCACCTATAGAACAATAAAATGTTAATGAGCAGCTGGGTTTAAGTTTGAGAAACGAGGAGGCGAAAATGGAACATAACAATGAGCTGTTGAACAGTTAAATGTTATCTGGGGGCACTCTTTTTAGAAACTAAAAGCATCTAACAATAATGCACTACATTCCCAGAGAGTCTATCCTCGTTCAGGAGGAGTCCAAAGATGTATGAATAAAGCTGACAGCAATCTACGGGAAGAGGTTAACCAATTGCTCCGAACCAAAATGCACAAGGAACCAGAAGGGATTCCCCTTGCCCCATGGGATCTATGCAACCTAGCCAAGAGCATTCTGGCATGAACCACCTCTATTATATAGCCTATGATTTGGCACCAGTAAAATTGCAAACAACATTATTATAATGGTTATACCTGAGGAAGCACAGCAATCAGACAGCGGTGGTTTCTCTGCACAAAATATTAATCTCTGGCCACAGAGAAGCAGCTCAATGGACAGCACAATAAATCACACACTTGGTTTTTCTTTTGGTTTATTCTGTAGTAAAACCACATTGTGCAGTTAAGCACAAATGCTTCATCCCTGACAATATTCCACTGATTTGTGGACAGAGAACCTGGCTCAAGAGTGCTGTAGGAATTCACAGATGTTATTTATGCTTTAATCCTTTTAATCCTTGTAAATGTGTTTATTTTTAGTAATCTCATTTGGAAAAGAGCACTAAGAATGTGCACTGAAGCTTCATTGAGAACAATAAGAAAAAGCAAACCCTGGGACCAACTCCATTTCCAGCCAGCTACGTTTCACAGTCCTTCTGCAATTATATTGAAAACTCTGAAGGATAACCACAAGGCTGCTTTAATTAAAACTGTAAATAAATTGCAGGTGATCCTGATAAACTACCAAAGGAGCTTCAGTGACACCAAAGTGTGCATTAAAGTCGGGAGATCAAGCTGAAAAATAACCTGCACGTCAAGCAGTCTGATCAATATAATAATTGCTTCAGGCTGGAACAAAATTACAATTCCTGGTTAAAGACAGATAAGTACTACAGCAGGTGACATTGCTGCATATCGTGTCATGAAGCGAAGTCTACAAGACACCTCAGAATGCTCTGTCAAAGCACTACAAGGATGGTAAACATCTGAATTTATAAGAAAACGTACTGAAACACAAAATGCAAAATAAAGACACCTGATCAATATAGCAATAGCTTCAGTTTGCATAGATTCATGGTACAGGAGAAGAGTAATTAGTATTGCATTTTGTACACGACAGCATTGCTATGGGTGCAATAGGTAAGCTATTAATTCAAAGAAGTTGGTATTAAAGAAGTAGCTGCTGAGTACATTACAAAAATAACTGTGGACGTATCTGCCTAGCAGCTATAAACCTCAGTTTACTACCGCATGCATGTCACCTCCTGCATAACACACACCCTTCTTTCAGTTCCTTGCATTTGATATATCAAGATGCAAATGAGCTACTGAAAAGGATAAAGGGGAGGGGGCAATCATTTCTTAAAAGTAACTTTTCTTTCCCAGGTTTGATCTCCTTTTGCCCAAACCTGATGACACACTAGCTTAAAATGATCAAATATAAATTTAAACACAATGCACATGAAACAGTAACATCTTACATACTGTAAATTATAATCACTTGAAGTGAAAATGCTGGCAGGGAAACATCATACTGAATACTTGCACATGGCTGATGAACTATGTGTGCCAGCAGCATCAGAGGGTGCAGACAGCTGCTTTTCAGTAGACGGTACAGGGTTGCAGTTTACCTGTTTCTTTGTCCTGCACTTCCTCCAGGTGTAAGTCGTTCAGGAGGTGCTCCAAAATCTTTTCTGGTGTCCCGGATACCACCACGTATCTGTCAGAAAGCAGAGAGTCCACAGAGTCATCCTCCGTTGAGGACTGCGAGCGGCTGCTCCATTCATCCTCCTCATCCTCCTCATCAATGTATTTAAAATAAGGCACATCAAACGTGGGCAGAGGCAGCTCCCTGCCTAGAGACAGAGAAGAATCCTTCCTCTCTATGTGCGGGTCAAAGATCCTCAGCCTGGAACTTCCCATACTGCAGGGCAAAAACAACAAAGGTATTCCCCCTACATACTGCTCTGTCTTTCCCCTTCAGTTCTGCTGCCAGCAACCGAGTTCATCTGGCTGCTGAGGGGAGCTCTGCAGTCAGCTTGTGAGCGCGGCTGTGTCTGAGCACCCAAGGAAAAAACTCTTACCTCCAATCACTCTCGGCACTCCCTGATGTGGGGGCTGGGCTATGTGACGACACTTTCCTAAGCACCAGCACATCTTGGTCCAGTTCCTTCACTTGAATAGTAGTCACTTCATCATCCAGCTTTAATTTGGAGAGGGGCACAAATGACAAAGAGAGAGAGAAATGAGTGAAATCTCCAGGGACTGACAAAAGGAAGGTGGGGGAAGCCTTGATTAGAGCTACATTTTCTCTCTCTCCCTCTCTCTCTCTCAGTGCCGCGATTTGCAGCAGTCACTGCCCTTGATTTACATTCTGAAAATTCACAATGCACCAAGAATTTTAGCAGAGCTCCCCTTTCCCAGAGGCACAGAGAGTGTACGTCTACGCTTTAATTGTAAAACACAATATTCAAGCACATAAATGAAGCGGGTGGTTAAGAACAAGGAAGGAATTTCAGTATCTTTACCAGTTTCCAGTTTGTTTCAATGGGCTGCTGTTCACTGTTACTGAGCTTTTCCGCTTAATGCATGTTATGTTTTACTGATGTGGCCAACGACTAAACAAATAAAATTAAACTGCCAAGGCAGTTTACAGTCATAAAAAACATACTTTACAGCATTTCAACAAGGGTGCAGCTGCTACAGAAACAAAATATACAGTCTGATGAAGCTACTTTCATTCTTTGGGACAGACAAGGCAGCCAGTCAGAACCTCCCCCCCCCCCCCCCATGATATTGTTTCCTGCGCTTAAAACTCACAACTTCAATATTTAACTTTTGGAAACAAAAACTACTAAAGGTTTTGGACAAGATGTGCAAGCAGATGACCATGATCCTATGCAAAGCTATATCTGGGTTTCACAGATGACCCTGATGACTTTTTCCATCCTAGGTCCTCTAAATGTGAAGGTTTGAGCATGACTATTGCTGCATATATATAGCATATATACAGAAAATGGGTGATGATACAGTGCCTAATAAGGCTTTGGTATTGACTGAATAGTCTATAAAGAAACATATTGATGGATGAAAGGCTCCCATTAGTTCCTTCTGAGAGCTTCCGAGAAACCCCCCAGTGTAGCAAGAGGCTCAGCAAAAGCCATAGTCTAATTATATTTTAATTAAGTCCAATGTTAACAGTAATGTGGCTTACAGTGATACTGTTTAATATGCAGGAATATTATTTGTACGTCCTGAAAGAATACAAACATTG